GTTGTACAGTTTATAGGCTTTAATGCATTTTGTTATATCTAAAGGTTTAATAACCCAAATTTAAGGGTACGTAAAGTTTCGACCTGTTGATTGCGTGTCAAAATAAATCACGCCAGAACAACAGCATCAGCTGCACCAATGAGCTGATTTGAAGGAAAGAATATTATCCGTCCGTGCTATCAGCATTAGCTGAGTTAAAGTAGCATGAATACAGCCGTGCAATCTGGTGCCCTCTTAGAGGCTCAAAAACTTCTAATACTAAATTATCCTTATTAGTGCACACAGAGGGCTCGAAGACTCAAAAACTTTGATTAATCTTGCAAACAAATCACCGGCTTGTTCTCATTCTCTCGCGTTTTGTGATATTCGACTGCAAAATGGTTAGTAGCATATTCGTCACAAAGATAAAATTTGCTTGACTAGAAAATTTTAGGTATGACTTGACAAGATTTTTTTTTGGAAACTCTAATGGTGTTATATTAATCACTGGTGACGCGCACCGGGTATTACCGTGCGATCATGCATTTTTGCAGTGTTTCGTGCTGTAATGACATTACTCGGAAACCCGGTAGCTAGAAATGTGTAACGTACTGGTCCTCGAATTTCGGGAATTTAGTTGTCTACACTGTACTTGGACAAGGAACATTCCTCAAAAACTTCAGCTCCCCAGTTTTCCTGGTTCAGGAGTTAGCCATTTTCTAGCCTAGAATTTTCACGAGGCTATCGTGCGAACCGTGCATGCCCGGTGGCTGAATTTGATAAATTTAAGTTGCAGATAAGCTGGGAACATTCTCTAAAAACTTCAGCTCCCCGCTTCCCTGGGACCAAAGTTAGCCATTTTCCTGCCAAAAATTTTCACGTGGCCGTACGTGAGAAACTCGCATAACTGGGGCTGAATTTGTTAGATCTAAGTTGCACATGGGCTGGCAACAATCACTTAAAATCTCAGACCCCCAGCTTTTCAGTTCTTGAGTTACCCATACCTTGAGTACCTTGAATACCTTGAACAGCTGTTGTTTCATCGATCTCTGATGTCACGCCATCGATGCAGCTGGCAACTTCTCTATTTCGATCGATCCTG